GTTCTTTTTTCTGTTCCCTCTCAATTCCATGACTTAACGTTGAGCTCAAAATTAGCTATTTATATAGCTAAGTACATGAAACTTCTTTTATGTTCACGTATCCATTTGTTCAGTGGTTCACGAATGTTAATAGCGCATAGCCTACGTATCAGACACTGCATAACGTGACAGGGATCATCTGTGCCACACCCTTGGGACACAAGCCGAGGGCCTGATGCTGACCTTGGCTGTGTGTAAACACCGATGTCCCCTGGTCTCAGATTCTCTTGGGGTTCTAGTCTGTTCCTCCGATCAGCTCCCCAGATTGCTTTTGAGGGAGCCTGTGACAAACAGGCTTATTTAAGTGGATTTTATTCCACTTATAAAATAATCAAAAACAATAAACCTAATGGTCAGGAATATAGCTCAGAGACACAAGCAATTGCCTGGCTAGCACAAGGTCCTGAGTTCAATTCCCAGTACCAAAAATTAATAATTATAATAATAATTAACTTAAACTGTAACAGTTAAGTTTGAGACCGCCTGTTGGTTTGTTTTTTGCTTCTTTCATTTATTGATCAAATCATTACAGAGGATCTATGTGTCAGGTACCAAAGATACAAAAATGACTACGGTATTCTTCTTCCTCAAAGGTATTCCATAATCTGTTAGAAATTCAGACAGATAAACCAACGCTGGCAACACAGCGTCATCAGTGCTGTAAGCAAACTGAGACCCAGGCAGAAAGTGATTCTCTTGGGCTGTTGAGAAAATTTCCCTTTAGTGACACAGTTGACCTGGGTCCTGAGGTTGGATTGAAATCTTCCGGATGGACAAGATAAGGAAAGACACTCCAGGTAGACAGAGCAGGGACAAAAGCAAGAAAGCCCGGAAGAGCAGTGGACAGCTAGCAGACGGGAGTTCCCCTGGCCAACCACAGCAGTGGAGAGCACAACAGCCGCAGGAGCGGTGAGGCGAAGCACACATGGGTCCAGACGACAGAGAGCCTAGAGTGCCCTCCAAATACCTGGACTTTATTCTAGAGCCACACGTACAATCAGAAACCACTCTGGCTAGACAGCAGAGGCTGGATTAGTGTTTTGTGACAATCTGTAATGGAAACAGAGGACTTCCCGGTTGCAATAGCTTAGAGGGGAGATGGTAAGAGCTGAAGTACAGGCACAGCGACAAGGACGAAGAGCTAGAACAATGCGGGACAGAGAGATGTAGGGGGATCAATAGGACGTGGGTGGTCAGGACAAAGAGCAGCTGTGTTTAATTTCTTGTCATTTAGTTCATTTTAAAAAGTAGGAATAGCTTCCAGAACTATTAAAAAAAAAAAAACTGACTATAAAGCATTATGGTAATAGTTTAAATCATCAGTCAAGTACTTTGTAATAGGAAAAGCTGAACCACCTTTTATTCCTCTTGAGTGATGGCGGAGGTACAAGGGAAGCCAGCAAGTGGGAGCTGTGTGCTGCAAGCTCTGAGCCTCCTTCACATTCAGGAACCTGCAGGTGTTTTCCTTGGGCGCCCCCGATGGCGACTTCCATAAGCACCACGGAGGCTTCCTGATCCCTCTTGTTTATCTCAAATATGCAACCAGGCCAGAAGGGAGAGTCTTCTTCATGGGGGAAACTTGTGCATGGTAAAGAAGGCCAAAGTCCAACAACATTCCCAGATGGTCAGCGAGACAAGGCAAAACTGCAGACTGAAAGTGCAGCAGGCGACATACTTGTCTCATGTAGCCTACCCTCCGCGCCTCAGATCGCTTGGTACGCTCTGGGTGTGCTTCCAAGTGCTGTGTGTGCCCTAGCTTACACTGTGACCCTCAAGGTGCCCTTCAGCAGTGGCGTTGCTGTCATGCATGAGTGGCAGTGCAGCTGCCTCAGTGTCTGTGCTCTTTAAAGCCTTTCTGTCCCCAATCTTGCATTAGATAATGACTCTGGAAAGCTGCCTTTGTGTTGATTGTAATTGCCACGTAGGCAATTGGCCTGGGGGCACTGGCGCTTCACTTAGTCACTTGTGATCAGCTGCACTCATTGTTGGACGGCTCACAGGCCTTTCAAAGGATGAAAGGAAGAGGAAGTTATTATGGGCTTCTGTTTTAAAGAACAAACTTTATCGTTGCTGCGATTGCTGTCCTTGGTAATCTGGTAGGTGTCCAGACTCCTGGAAGGCCCTGCTCGCTAGGGTCAGGTGGTGTCTAGGAAGCCTCTAACCCTGAGGGCCATGACCATGCTCCAGGAATAAACATGCTGATTGGTGGGTGTTGTACCTTTTGGGTATGGTGCTTTGTGTCTGGGTGTCTCCCCAAAGCCTCATGCAGTCATAGGGTTTTTTCAGAGATGGTTCAATCTAAAATGTGTCATGGATTCATAGTGCAATGGTGGGGTTGAGGGTGCTAGGATTCAGGGAGGGTGATCACTGAATCAGTCCCCTGATTAGACTGGCACTGCCCTAACCCTGGTAGACTGGATCCCGTCAGTATAAGGGTCAGAGAGAGGCTTGTCTCGCTGTCTCTCTCTCTTTTTTAAAATTTTATTTATTTATTTATTTATTTGTGTGTGTGTGTGGCCAGCTCAGCCCACCAGGGAGCAGGGCTGGCTAGCATGTGGTGCTGGGGGATTGAACCGCAGTCCCTGTGCTTTGCTAAGCTTGTTCTAAGTAGGTGCTTCAGACCACTGAGCCATCTCACCAGCCCCTCGCTGTCTCTTAATGCTTTTGCTGTCTTCCACCGCATGAGCTGCTGCCTTCTGTCATATGCTACCCTGCACAGGAGCCAGCTGATTACAGACTGAAACCTCTACAAACTGTGAGCTAAATAAACCTTTCCTCCTTTAACGTTGGGTGTCGGATATTTTGTCTCAATAACAAGAAAAATAAGACACCCAGAATCTTCCAGATCACTTCAAGATGGCTTTGGACAGAGGGAAATTGGCTCCCTTATTTTTAATCCAAAAGAACTTCATTTTAAAAATGTATTTACAGTTCAGCAGCATTAAGGACATGCACACTATTCAGTAACTAAACCCCAGAATACTTTTCTTCTTGCAAAACTGAAACTCTACACCCATTCAACACTAGCTACCTATTCCTCCTTTCCCCTACCAGTGATGGTAAAACTTTTAAAGCATTCGTGATAACAAATACCCCACTGTGGCGTGCGCGCCATAGATTCACTACTGCCGCTGGGCCCTCACAATTACCATTCTGCTTTCTATAAATCTGCCCACTCTAGTTACCTCAGGTAAGTGGAACAATACAGTGTTTGTCTTTTGGTGACTGTCTTATTTCATTTAGCACTGTGGCCTCGGGTTTCGTCCGTGTCATAGCATACATCAGAATTTTCTTCCAGGGGGCCGGTGAGATGGCTCAGTGGTCTAAAGCACCTACTTAGAACAAGCTTAGCAAAGCACAGGGACTGCGGTTCAATCCCCCAGCACCACATGCCAGCCAGCCCCGCTCCCTGGTGGGCTGAGCTTGAGCTGGCCACACACACACACACACACAAATAAAATTTAAAAAAAAAAACAAGCAGATCAAAGAATTTTCTTCCATGTTTAAGGCTGAATGATATTCCATTGTATGTGTAAAGCACGTATTTATCTATTTGCCCATCAGGGAACACTTGAGTTGCTTCCACCTTTTGGCTATTACAAATCATGCTGCTGTGAGCATGGGTGGATTACTGTCTTATCAAAACCTTACCTTATGAGATTCTTATAAGACATAATAGATATTTTTTGGCTTACTGTCCCATGAATGTTGTGGAGGACATGGGTTGTCCAGCCCTCACACAGCCATTTATATGATGAGGTTCAGAATGTTAGTGGTTTTAGTATCAATTAGCCAGATGTTGTAGTTTAGTTTTGATAGGAATATTTTTTATGGCTATTCCTAAACTTGAGGGTATGAGCAACAAGGAGTGTAGTGCGTCCCATTCTATAGCCAGACCTGAGGGAGACGACATGGGTAGACATTCAGGCACTGTGAGCCAGGGGCTGGCCCAGGGACTACAGGGAGCTCAGATCTTTGCATCCTGCCTTACGTCTTCCAGTGGCTCTGGTCATGACACGGTTGTTATCCTTAGCACATCGTATCTCTCTTCCTCATCAAGCTGACTCCAACACCCAGCTCGCAAACATTTCTTGATGGTTCACTTTTCCCCATCGCCCCTTAACTCAAGCCCCTCTTTGGCCAGAACAGTCTCCAGTGGTGTCTGGCTCTGCTTCTGCCAGCCTCTAATCTAGTGGTGGTGAACCTGTGGCACCGATGTTGCAGGGTGCTGTTTGTATCACTGAAAAGTCTAAAGGGTTCGCCATCACTGCATCCATTCCCCCTGACAGCAGCCAGAACTGCTGGCAATGCTAAGCAGGCTGTGTCACTGTAGGCCTAACCAGACTCGCTGAAACACACTACACTTGGACTATGGGCTAAACTCTTTCTTGCAGGGTCTGGCATGGTCTGGACCCTGTTCAGTTCCTGTCTCATCTGAGTTTAACAGATCCTAGTTCTAGTGCCTGCTTTGAGTACAAAGGCATCATGGACTGCAGTGTGTGTCCTTGCCTCTGTCTGGAACCCTCCTCCACACCAACATCTCTCCATGCCCATCTCTACTCTGGCTTAAATGACTCTTCCTCAGAGACCCTTTTCTGACCATTCAGTCTAAATTATGACCATTCCTTGTTTTTCTTTCTTGTAATATTTCACAACATTCTTTATACTATTAGAATTGCATATGCTAGGATTTGTATATTGAGTAGCTATCCAGATTGTAAGTTCCATGAGAACAAGATCGGTTTGCTTTGTAGCCATTATTTATGCAGTCTTCTAAGTATTTGGTACCCATAGGCAGCCTATAGATATTTATTGACTCACTGAATGAATTAATGAATAACAGCATGAATATTCTTCTGATATTTAAACATAACCTTCATGGAAAGTTCCCTGGACTCTCCATAAAGAAAGGAAAAGCTATCCCTTGACAGATTAAAAAATGGCCTTTCTCACTCCACCAGCAAAGAAACCAATGAGCCTCTTTTCCATCCACGATGGTGCTGTTCACACCATTCAGCGATCACCTTTCTACAATGACATCATCCTCACCGTTGGAGGATGGAATGTGGCCATCTGGAAAGAAGGTGTTATGGTAAGTGGCCTCGAACTGAAGGGACGGGTGTGTGGTCCTTTGTTACTGAGAAAGAGGGTAGGCACAATGACTTGACAGTGCCTTTGAGGTACTTTTTGGAGAAATGAGAACAGATGGTCAGGGCTCCAGCTTGTCAGCAGAACCACTGTAAGCCTTTTTGAAAACACAATCACTTGCTTTTTTTTCCTGAGGGGAGGAAACCAACATTGCAAGTCCTTTGTTCTCCAAAACCTACCAATCTTCTCTTGGAAATACATAATGTGTGAAGCTGGCTTGATTTATGTTTTTGTCTGTTTTAAAATATAAGGTAGGATCCTCCTCATGGGATAAAGTGTGAAAAAGAAATGAAGGGTCTTCCATCTTTTCTTCTGCATCAGGAATTCACTGACAGGATCAGAAATTAGGAGTGGGTAGGCCAAGGGCTCTGTCACCAGGAGGTCATAGCTTGTCCGAAGACCTACATGGGACAAAGTAAGGTTCAAGATAGGAAAGAGGCCATATCCAGGCAAACAAAAGCCAACCTACCCAAAACTGGAAAGACTGATAAAGATCCAGTGAAACAAGGGAATAGAAAAGTCAGAAAATTTTGTGGTAATGTTAATTGATTTGTCCTTTTAATGAAAACATTGTGATTACTAAAAGCTGGAAAAGATGTATGTGTGGGTGGGAGTGTATTTCACAGCTAGAAATATGTATATTGGAAGGCTTACCTTCTAAAATTTTTAACTTACACAAGTACTTTGAATAAAGGAAATTTTAAAATGTGTGAATAGTTGTATAAATTTACCATTGAAACACTAGGAATTACTTAAATGACAATCAACAAACA